TCCCTCTCTCTCTGACCCTCCCCTGCTCACGCTGTCTCTCTCTCTCTCCTAGAAATAAATAAAACATTAAAAAAAAAAAAAAGAAAGAAAGAAAGGAGAGAAGGGGCACCCGACTTTCTCAATCACTGGAGCATGAGACTTGATCTCAGGGTTGTGAGTTCAAGTCCCACATTAGGTGTAGAGATTACTTAAAAATTAAATCTTAAAGGGATGCCTGGGTGGCTCAGTCGATTAAGTGGCCAACTCTTGATTTTGGCTCAGGTCATGATCTCACAGTTCTTGAGTTCAAGCCCCACAATGGGCTCTACAATGACAGTGCAGAGCCTGTCTGGGATTTTCTCTCTCCCTCTCTGCCCCTGCCCTCTCTCAAAATAAATAAACTTAAAAAAAATAAAAATTAAAAACAAAATTTGACCATGAGCGAGTTAACAGAAGACAAGTAACAGACTGAGAAAAGAGATGAAGAACAAACTGTTAGGAAAACACAAGTGATACACAGGAGAAATCAGGAACCAGTTTAGACACCAAGTCAGAGAATCAAAGGAGGAAGATATTAGAAAGTTTCAAGGTGGAGGGGCGCCTGGGTGGCTTAGTCGGTTAAGCGTCCGACTTTCTCTTAGGTCATGATCTCGCAGTTCGTGGGTTCAAGCCCCGCGTCGGGCTCTGTGCTGACTGCCAGCTCAGAGCCTGGAGCCTATTTCAGAGTCTGTGTCTCCCTCTCTCTCTGACCCTCCCCTGCTCACGCTGTCTCTCTCTCTCTCCTAAAAATAAATAAAACATTAAAAAAATTAATAAAAAAAAAAAAAAAGAAAGTTTCAAGGTGGTGTTATATGCAGGGATGAATCACTGGATTCTACTCCTGAAATCACTGTTGCATTATATGCTAACTAACTTGGATGTAAATTAAAAAAAAAGAAGGAAAGAAAGTTTCAAGGAGCGAAAATGTCTATGGTATCAATAGCAGAAAGAGTTGGCATGAAGGAGAGTTTTAAGTGCCCCTTACAGGTGGCTATAAGGAGATTATTTAGTAATGCCTATTATTAGAGTAGGCAGGGTGGAAGCGAAATGATAGCACAACGAACGGTGCCAGGGTCCTGCTGGCCTTGAGGTAACAATGAATGAAGCTACTTACTCACAAAAGTTTAACGGGGAGGGGAAACGTGCCCCAGAAGGTCCGAAAACTGCCTAGAAAAGGGGCGAGTCATCAGGTCAGCTGGGGACATGAGCTCCCTGGAAAGGAGCCATCAGCCCTGGCAGGGCAGAGACACAGCCTGTCCCGAGAGCAAGAGCTGGTGGGGGGCACAGCGCACACAGGAGCTAAGCAAGGAAGCAGAGGCTGGGCTTGCTCCCTAAAGGATGTGTTCATCTGCTGAGAGGGAGAAAGGGGGACCATAAAAAACTGGAAAAAGGTTTAAGAGTGCCTGAGATAAATCTACTGGGATTTCAGTAAGAAACAGAGTCATGACCGGGAACCCTAACCATGCTTGGGGAACAGCCACATTTAGAAATAGTAGTTTCCTAAATGATTTGGCAGAGAGGCTACTTACATGCTTTAGGTGCAAGTGTGCTTGGCTGGCAATGTCATATATCACATCTCTCACATTTTTATCTTGGTTCTGCCGTAGAAAATCCTCTTGCGAAACACCATGCTGTGTGGGAAAATACATATTACATTAGGAATCTAAAAGCACACTTTATCTTAGTTCAAGAACAGCAGGTGACAGAACAGTATCTATACTATGATGCCTATTTTGTTTTTGAAAATATATGTAACACACTTCCATGTGTGCCTACAGACACGCATACACACACTCCTAGAGGAATATGCAACACGATGTTAACAATGGTTGTAGATAGAACACAGTTATGCAAGCAAGAAAACAAACATATGGATCCACCACAGATCTAAGGTGCCCGACTGATAAAATTCCAATGTGGTAACTGGAGCAAAAAAGCAATTAGTATTGATTTCAAAGCAGCTGCTTGAACAGATGAAGCAAAGAACCAAGAGATAATGTCCCTCCCCATGTTCCTGAGGTAAATTATTAGAGGAAACAGTTAATAGCCTTACCAGCATACAAATTTCCAAGGGAAGGAACACCCTTCTTCTGCTACCATGATAGGGCGTTGCTCTCAAGCAAGTGACAATGCCCTGCGCTTTTCCAATGTGACTTGCGGCATGATCTGCATGAAGATCCTTTACACCTAGGATTTTAGAAACAAAGCAACAGGGCTTAAATTCACAACAAATCAAAAGAGGCAGCTTGGAGAAATCACCTAAACGTATAAAATTAGGTGTTTTTCCTGTGTTTTATATCTGAAAAACAGGACTTATGTGAGCAAAACTGGGCACAAAGACAAGCTGACTGTTCACCACTGAACAGGTTTCTGAACCTTAACTTTTAAATAAAAGCGTTTTCCTCAGACTATAGAACACCGAGAACACATTTGGAATTTTAATCAGCTTTCTTGGAAAAACATTACAAGTCTTCCACTTCTTCTCCTCAATGCAATTTCCATATGACCTCATTTTAAGTATACGCTTGACAGACTGTCTGCTTTTTGCTCCCTCCTTTCATTGTGTTGGCAAACATGTCACCGGGCGTACAGGCGGAATGAGCCTGGGAATCTCAATGGGGACTTGTGTTACTCCTTTAGGGTGACATAAAGATATATTACCTTCTTCAAAAGAGAGGGTATTGTCCTTGGCCCAAAAAATTTCCTCATTATAATAAGACCTCACCAACTTAAAGTCAGATGAGGAAAAGGATCATCTAAATTTGTTTGTTTTATTTATTTTTAAGAGGACAGAAAAAGAAAACAATCTCACAAGAACTTTGAGAAACGTAGTTTTATATTTCCTACCTTTTTTTTTTTTTTTTACCTGGGGAAGTTTTATTGACAGGGAAGGAAGAATCAGGCCCCAGGCCTTCCAAATTGTAGGAGAAGCTTAAAAAGGAAAAATCACCTACAATTACCAGATTATTGATTATAGCATTCCCATGAGGTAGCTAAAGTACTTTTATGAGAGCCTCAGTATTTTGATTAGTCTGTTCTCCAAAGAAAGATATATATTACCCTTCTTGCTTTAAAGAAAAAAAAAAAGACATTCCTTTACAGATGGTGCAAAGAAAACCTTCAGTGTTAAACCAATTAGACTGTCAAATTATGAAAGAGTGAGGGGTATTTTCTTTGAAAACAGAATTATAAAATAGAAAAAAAGACTTACCCAATATTTCTAGTGTTAAATAAAGGAGAGAACTCTGAGTGTTTTCAGCATAATTTTCCAGTTCTTGGATATTACGATATGCTTTGTCCTCCAAATTTTTTTCCTATATTCAAAATGCAAATAAAGTTTGATGAATTGTCAATATTTTATAAAGAAAAGCACCATTTTTTGCCCTAAAGAACTAATAAAGAATAAAAATAATTAGTTATGTTGTTTAGTACACAATAAGATTAAAGTAAAATTAAAATTAAAGTCTACACATTCAATAATTGCAAATCACCTCTCAAAATAATACCTTGGGAAGAATCTCAATGCACAAGTCACCAGACATGGGGTTAGCTTAATGTTCAAAAGGCCAGGGAGTCACGAGAAACTGACTTAACTGAGCTCTGACTTAAGCACTTTAGACATTATCTTCTTACTCATCGAAACTTCCCCCCAAAAGATAAAGAATTAATGCTTTTTCCACGTTGCAGATGAGGAAACGGAGTCACAGACATATTAAGTAATATGTCTGAGGTCACATAGCTAGTAAATGATGAGAATAGGATTCAAATCCATACATTTTAACTGTTAAGCCAGTGTTTTTAATAAAGAAAAGGTATATAGGAAAGGAAAGGAGATCATAAGCAGACTCCACCCCAAAGACACCAAGCTCCATAAAGTAATGGGGGTGAGTACCTTAACTGATCACACAATATTCCAGAAACCAAAAAATATAACTCTCAGACTAAGAACATGTAGCCACTATTATAATAATACATTTACAAAGACTCCACTGCCAAGGAAATATGCCCCTTCTTCTTTACTTTTAATCAGAAGAAAATGGTACCAGCAATGATCCCAGGGGAAAAAAATTATGTCCAATCTTTTACGTTTTTTAAAAACTGAGTAATAATTCACATACCATAAAATATACCCTTTTAATATGTACAATTCATTGGTTTTTAGTACATTCACAAAACTGTTCAACTATCACCACTATCTAATCCCAGAATGTTTCCCCACCTCAAAGAGAAACCCTGTGTCCATTAAGCGGTCACTTCCCATTTCTCCCTTCTTTCATTCCCCTGTAAACCACTCATCTACTTTCTGTCTTTATGGATTTGTTCATTCTGGATATTTTATAAAAATGCAATAACACAATATACAGTTTTTTGTATCTGGCTTCTTTCAGTTAGCATGTTTTTAAGGGTCATCCATGTTGGAGCATATATTAGTACCTGATTCTTTTTAACTGGAGAAAGTATTAATAATATTCCATTGTATGAATGTACCACACTGTGTTTATTCACTCATTGGTAGATTATGAGTTGTTCCCACTTTTGGACTATTATGAATAATGCTGCTGTGAACATTTGTGTACAGGTTTTGTGTGGATACATGTTTTCATTTCTCTTGGGCATAAATATAGGAGTAAAATTGCTGGGTCTATGATAACTCAATGTTTAACTTTCTGAAGAACTGCCAAGCTTTCTCCAGTGTGGGTGTATCATTTCACATTCCCATCAGCACTGTATGAAGGTTTCTAATTTCTCTACATCCTCACCAACACTCATTATTGTTCATATTTTTATTATAGCCATCCTAATGAGTATAAAGGAGTAATTTATTCTGGCTTTGATTTGCATTTCCCTAATGAAAAGATGTTGAGCATCCTTTTAGGTGCTTATTGATCACAGGTAGCTATCCCTTGTAGAAATGCTTACCCTAATCCTTTCCCCATTAAAAAAAGTTTTTTTAACTTTTTTTTTTTTTTAATTTCTGAGAGAGAGAGAGAGAGCGAGAGAGACAGTGTGAGCAGGGGAGGGTCAGAGAGAGAGAGACAAACAGAATCTGAAGCAGGCTCCAGGCTCTGAGATAGCTGTCAGCACAGAGTCCAACGCGGGGCTCAAACCCACAAACCATGAGATTATGACCTGAGCCGAAGCCGGACACTCAACCGACTGAGCCACCCAGGCACCCCTCCTTTCCCCATTTTTAAATTGGTTGTCTTCTTACTGTTGAGTTTTAAGAGTTCTTTACATATTCTAGATACTTGTTCCTTATCAAATATATATATAACTTACAAATACATTCTCCCATTCCATAGACTTCTTCACTTAATTAAGATTTTTAATTTTGTTAAAATCCAATTACCTGTTTTTTCTTTTATTGCTTATACTTTTGATATCATATCTCAGAAACCACTGCCTAACCTGAAGTCACAAAGATTATACCTATGTTTTCTCCTAAGGGTTTTACAGTTTTAACTCTTACATTTAGGTGTTTGGCCTATTTTGAGTTAGTTTTTGTTTATGGTGTTAGATAGGAATCCAAATTCATTCTTTGCATGCGGATATCCAGTTGTCCTGACATTTGTTGAAAACCTATTCTTTCCCAGTTGGATTATCTTCACACCCTTGTCAAAAAATCAATTAACTATAAATTTATGGGTTTATTTCTGGACTCTCAATTCTATTCCATTGATCTATATGTCTCTGCCATGCCAGTGTTCCACTTTGATTACTTTAACTTTGGAGCTTTCTTCTTTAGCAAGGTTGCCTTAGCAATTCTGAGTCTCTTGCATTTCCATATGGATTTCAGGATCAGCTAGTTAATTTCTGCAAAAAAGGCAGGTGGAGTTTTTATAGGGACTGCACTGAATCTAAAGATCAATGTGGGATATTGAGCCTAGTCTTTTACTCTTAAATATCCCTCCCTACAAAAGCCAAATGTTATTTTCCACTAAATCAGAAAGTTATCTTTCTTTTTTTTTTTTTTTAAATTTTTTTTTTTTAATGTTTTATTTATTTCTAGGAGAGAGAGAGACAGCGTGAGCAGGGGAGGGTCAGAGAGAGAGGGATTCGCAGACTGAAACAGGCTCCAGGCTCTGAGCTGGCAGTCAGCACAGAGCCCGATGCGGGGCTCGAACCCACGAACCGCGAGATCATGACCTAAGCGAAAGTCGGACGCTTAACCGACTAAGCCACCCAGGCGCCCCAAAAGTTATCTCTTTCTTAAATTTTCTTTTTTTTTTTTTAATTAAAAAAAATGTCAATGTTTATTTTTGAGACAGAGAGAGACAGGGAGAGAAGGATTCACAGAACCCGAAGCAGGCTCCAGACTCTGAGCTGTCAGTGCAGAGCCCAATGTGAGGCTCAAACACCCAAACCATGAAATCATGACCTGAGCTGAAGTCTGATGCTTAACCGACTGAGCCACCCAGGCTTCTCTCTGTCTTAAATTTTCTAATTGTCTTTACCTCATAAAAACAGAAAACACCTGAAAAATAGATCTTCTTAGTGCTAATTAACTCTGTAGGCCAACAACAATTTCTTTTAAAGGCTGAAGTCATTATCTCCCATTTTGGTTTATAATTACTATAGCCTATGGTTATTAATAGGCTTTATCCAAATAAACTAAGTAAACTCCCATTTTCATGACAACAGTATGTGATAAATATCAGGCCAATGAGGACACTGAGCCAACCATGTGCCAGAAAGATTACATAAATTAGCCCAGGCCAGAGAGCAATTTGTACGCTTGGTTGGGAGTAGAACGTAAGATAGCATTCCATTCACTAGAATAGAACCATCAGACTTTCCTTATTCCCTCAACTATCTGGACAGAGATCCTAATACCTTGTGTACATAAAAGTATGTGTACGACTACTCAAGTTTTGATGATATCAAGGAATTATCTGTACTTTTTTAAGGTATGATCATTTATTGTGGGCATGTTTTCTAAAAGTATTTTTAAAAATTTTTTCAAGATACAAATATTTATTTGCAAGCTAATAATATGGGTTTTACTTTAAAATAATCCAGTGGTGTTTAATGAGAAGAGTTGGTAGAATATAGATGAAACAAGATTGGATATGTATTTATAACTATTAAAGCTGGTTAACCGATACATGAAAGTATATTACACTATTCTCTCTACTTTTGTATAAAAGTAGAAGTCCAAACATTTCCATTACAAAAACAAACACAATAGTAGAGTGGGGTTAGTGTGCACACACACGTCTCTGCCTCGGTGCCTGTGTTTGCCTATCTGACTCAAGGTGCAGGGGGAGGGGGCTGAGGTGGGCGGCATGCAGTGATGGAGAATGGATAGAATGACAGTTCTCTAAAAGTCTCCTTCCTCCAAAATATAATACACATATTAAAACATTTCCTCCCTGAGGAATTAGCTTATAGATTAAAAAGGAAGAAAACACGACTTGAGCAATTTCAACTTACTCTTTCATCAATGATTTTCATAAGCCATCTTTTAGTCAGATTATGTCTTTTGACAGCCTGAAAAAATCAAGAGTGTTGTAAATTTTTAGAAAGTACTAGAAATGACTTCAGCAGATCTGAAAATAAACAAACACAAAACTAGTTAAGGAAACTTTTGTAATAACTATCACCAGATAGACAGCTGTGTTAAAGAAATATCAGGGGAAAAGAAAATGTCCCTAGAAAACATTTCAAAACATTTCCAAGTAAATATAATACAGCCAAAACATTTCCACTAGATGTTTTTTCTTAATGCTATTAGTAATTTAACAATTCCACTTTCAAAACAAAAACAAAACAAGAATTAAATACCAAGCTTCAGTTATATGATGTATCTTGACTTCTTTGCTTATTTATCATACACAAAGTTTTCTCCACAGGACAAAAATTCTACTTAGTGAAAATAACCACTTCTTCAAACATGAAAAGAATAACTAAAAGTCCAAAGAAAGTAATCTGTAGGGTAGTGTTCTCTTAGCAACTGTTTCCAGTAGGAAACAGCACACCTAGTGCCCAGATCTTAGTCTCCAGTTCGACTCCAAAGGAAACAGGGCTCTAGAGAAACAGAGTGATGGGAGATTCGAGGTGATCCTAGAATATCTTACTGTGTCAGAAAATACAATATGCCCCAAAAAGTGATGAGGGTGCATGTCGTAAGGACATAAGAGCCAATTTCATAGGGCTCTCACTGTCCAAATCTGGGACAACTTGAACACCCAAATAATCACATATAGTAATGAATTATAAAATACTGGAAAAAAAACAGGAATTTGTGAGTTCATAGCAATAATTAATAAACAAACACAGAAGACTGAGAGTTCTTCCTTATACTAGAATGCCAAGTGCCAACAAGTAATGTTGACAGAGTGCTAGAGTTTGGAAATTATCATTTTGCGATCATAACAAGTAAAGACTGAATCAGATAAGAACCATCAATGAACGCTAAGTTTAGGAAGAAACTGATGAGGAGCAGGAAATGTGCATAGTCTTAAAGTGGATTAGTTTGTGAGAGAAATTATAATTACAGACTGGGAAAACCAGGCAACATCTTGACCAGGTGATGAAAATCAATAGTGCCAATAAAGGACAGATGGACAAAGTGTGCCTCCAGATGTGATGCCCTAAGAACATATCACCTAAATTAACTGAATTAGTCATGAGAAAACATCAGATAATGTTTTCTCCAAAATGAGAAATGTTCTAAAAAAGCAGGAGGAGGCTATACTCTTCAAAAATGTCAATGACAGGGCACCTGGTGGCTCAATTGGTTAAGTGTCCAATTCTTTTTTTTTTTTTTTATAACTTTTTAAATTTTTTTAATGTTTATTTATTCAAGAGAGAGAGAGCGAGCATGAGCAGGGGAGGGCAGAGAGAAAGGGAGACACAGAATCCAGATTAGGCTCCAGGCTCCAGGCTCTGAGCTGTGAGCACAGAGCCTGATGCAGGGCTCAAACTCACGAACAGGGAGATTATGACCTGAGCCGAAACCAGACACTTAACTGACTGAGCCACCCAGGTGCCCCAAGTGTCTTGATTCTTGATTTTGGCTTAGGTTATAATCTCACAGTTCGTGAGTCCCAGCCCCACCTCACACTCTGCACTGAAGGCATGGAACCTGGCTGGGATTCTATCTCCTCTCCCTGCCCCTCTACCGCTTGCTCTCTGTATCTTTCTCAAAATAAATAAAAATAAACTTATAAAAAAAAGTCAATGTCATAGAAGACAGAAGCGACAGAAATGTTCCAGATTAAGGCATGAGAAAGAGACATGACAACAAATACACAACCCTAGACTGGATCCTATACTGGAGGGGAAAATACTATTGTGGACAATACTGGCGATACTGACAAAAGTGGAATGTAAGTGGAAAGTTATATAAAAGTGTTACGCCAAAGTTAAATTTACAAAAGTTAGGAGCTGTTCAGATAACATAAGAGAATATCCCTGTTCTTGGAAATACTTTAAGTATTTAGGGATGAGGGGCCATGAAGTATAGCACTTATACTCAAGGGATTCAGATAAAAATTATGAGTGTGACAATGCACGCACACCACAGAGCACACATGCAATTGTACACGAGCTCTGCACAAATCACAAACATACAGAATACAATGTTAACAACAGGTGAGTCTGGATATAGGTTATGCAAGTGTTCTTTGTACTATTTTAAATTTTGCAACCTTTCTGAAAGTTTGAAATTATTTCCAAACAAATTCTCAAAACATTGTCTTCTTGCCAAGTCAACAATAAGTAAGATATATTTTCATAAAAAATAAATATGGTAGGGGTACCTAGACGGCTCAGTCAGCTAAGCATCCAACTCTTGATTTCACCTCAGATCACAATCTCACAGTTCAGGAGTTCAAGCCAGCATCGGATTTTCTTTCTCCCTCTCTTTCTCTCTCTGCCCCTCTCCTGCCCGCCCCCCTCTCTCTCTCTCAAAATAAATAAACTTTTTTAAAAAAGAAAGAATAAATATGGTAGTGGAACAAAGTCTCAGGAATATCCTGTACTCCATCTAAGCCTCTAAGACGTCACTGATACTAATGACTAATGATACTAATTGGAAGTTCAGAGAACAGAGCCCACTCTGCCTGCCAAGAACTGACAGAAGCCAAAAGAGCTGCATGGTGTCGGCTGCAAAGCGCTCTGCTACTACCTGGCAGCACTCCCTGCAGGCCTCTCCCCGGTCCCAGGAATCAGCCTGGGATTCCTCAGTCATTACAGAGTCCTGATCTTGTTTTATTTTGTGCAGGCCTGCGTGGGGCAAGGCATGTTTGATCTTTGCAACCACCATCAAGCACCATTCCTGGCACCTAAAAGTACTCAAGAAATATTTAACCACAGAAAGTCAGGTTTCTGTTTACTCAACGCTGAAGCTGTAACGGCTATAGTTCCTTGACCATACAATACAATTCTTCTGTCTGATTCTGAAGGAAATCAGAGATCAAGTTTAAAAAAAAATAAAGGATTTAATAAGCAGCTGAAAATCTGCTGAATAAAGTATCAGCAATTTTTTTTTATAATTTTTTTTTTAATTTTTTTTAATGTTTTATTTATTTCTAGGAGAGAGAGAGAGACAACGTGAGCAGGGGAGGGTCAGAGAGAGAGGGAGTCACAGACTGAAACAGGCTCCAGGCTCCGAGCTGGCAGTCAGCACAGAGCCCGACGCGGGGCTCGAACCCACGAACCACAAGATCATGACCTAAGCGAAAGTCGGACGCTTAACTGACTAAGCCACCCAGGCGCCCCAGCAATTTTTAAAACAGAAACCAAACAGAATAAAAACCTTGGCCTTAAACAGAAGTTCAAACTTGCAACTAACATTAATACACTGAGAAATGGGGAACCCCGTATGAAATACACGTGTAATTATAGATGTGCAATTATCTTGTATCCTAAAAGCACTAATGAATCACTGTGGCAGGAAAGTGCTCTCTGCACAACACCGTCACTCTTCCCCTACTTACTCTTCCAGAAGAACCTGACTCTCTCTAAAGAACCAATGGAAAGTTTTACTGGATGGTGTGCAAAAAGCACGTGCTCCAGCAGAGTGTGGAAGGGTAGAGAACACGCAACCAGGACATCTGCTCTGAACACCACCTCCTTCCTTCAAATATTCATATCAACCTTCAACACTGGGCGTCTCAGAAAGCTGGTCAACAGCCATCATCAACATTCAAGGAGCTATTAAATCGGACCAATCGGCACATGTGTCAACATTCTACAATTCAGATGTGTCTTCTGGTTTTTTTAAGAGAGGCCAAGATGAGATAAATTTGTGTTGAAGGAATCTCTAACAATGCAAGCCTTAGCATAACCCCCCCGCTGCGGGGATGTCTGCATGTAAAATAATAGTTTTTCTTGATTTCAGAAAAAATCTTTCTCTAAATGGAGTCACCACGGTGGAGGTCCTTAAAGTGAGATGAACAGAGGTAAACAACTAACCTAATACTCACAGCTTCCCATCCACTCTTTCTTCTCAGTCCCTGGCCAGGGGGCCTGGCTTTCCATCCTTACTGGGGTTCTGTGAAGTCAGTCGGGGGCCGGGGAACAGGGCCTGCCTCTGCTGGTGTGCAGACCTGAGAAGAGGGGCACCCCTGTCAGGCCTGTCTGTGGCTCCATGACAGAACCTGTCTTTTGGCACTCATCACACCATAGTGGGGACACATCAGTGACAAAAGGTACCCGATTCCCTTCCTCCAATCATGGTGTGGCACATTTGGGAACTCTGCATGGCTGTTTATGAATGAAGGATCCATATCACTGCTTTAATGTGAAACTATGCACTATATACATCTAGCTGTCCAAATAATTCTCTAGCTCATAAGTCTCCATTCTCTAATACTTAAAATTCATCAATGAAGATGCAACAAGGCAGTTTTATATTTGTGTCTGGACAATGGTGAGGGCAAGTCTCCCTTCACAAAAGGTCAGTATGTGTTTTTCTACAGCCCATGGAATGAACTGGAGCACTGGAATAAGGAGCTGCTGGCAGACAGAACAATTAACCTGCCACTGCTTCAAAATATATGCGTGTTGGGGCACCTGGGTGGCTCAGTCAGTTGAGTGTCTGACTTCAACTCAGGTCATGATCTCAGTTCATGGGTTTGAGCCCCACGACAGGCTCTGTGGCAACAGCTCAGAGCCTGCCTCAGATCTTCTGCTGCGCCCCCCCCCCCCCACTTTCTGTCCCTTCCCCATTGTCGCTCTCTCTCTCAAAAATAAATAAAACATTAAAAAAAGTATGGTGTTTAATTTCTACAGCCAAATATGTGGAAAACAAATAAGTAATTTATAACACAAAGGGACCAGATTCCTCTTTTTTCTTCTAATAAAAAGTTCACTAAAGATCTGTGCAAGTTTATTAGCAGATGATTTAAAATTCCTCTGTCAAAACTAACAGCTCTAAACATTACATGAGCCTAAAATTATTTTCAGGATAGATTCCCCATAGCCACTAGCCAAACTGTATGCATCAAAAAGTATGCTCAAGGGGTGCCTGGGTGGCTCGGTTTGTTAAGCGTCCAATTTCGGCTCAGGTCATGATCTCACTGATTGTGAGTTCAAGGTGCACGTTGGGCTCTGTACTGGTAGCTCACAGCTCACAGCTCAGAGCTTGGAGCCTGCTTCAGGTTCTGTCTTGTCTCCCTGCCCCTTCGCCACTCACACTCCCTCTCTCTCTCAAATATAAATAAACATTTTTCTAATTAAAAAAAAAAGTAAGCTCAAATAACACTTATAAATTAAAAGCAGCATTTCGTTTTTACCTTCCACAGCTCAATGGCCACAGGCTGCTGGGGTGGGTTGTCACTGTATATGTCGTCCACGGTTTTTCTCCAAAACTCCATTCGCATCAGTCCAATTGTTTTCTCAGAGACTGAGTCCTTAACCTGTAAACAGCGTTCAAAAACCTTAATAAATGCACTCTTCAGTCTCAAAATCAGTATTTGTGACTGCATAGCCACGATTCACCCAAAAACTAAGTTTAACCCTATATATTTATTTTAATTTTTCCTTGAAGCTATATATCAGTTAAATTCTTCTCATTAAGAGGTTCCTAAATAAAACTGCAGATTACTTCCAGTATTTCCAAGGTCTGCATTCAAAAATAGATCGTCTTCTAGAAATAAATTGCCAAGAAAAAGAGTGGAGGGTACAGTTAGATTAAAAGAAATTGATAGATAAATCAGTTGCAGTATGCAGTAAATGGACTTTATTTGAATTCTGATTTGAAAAGAAAGAGACAACTGGGAAAAATCTGAACACTGGATGTTTAATGATACTGAAGAACTATTACATTTTTAATGTTGGACAATGGCATTGTAGTTGCTTTTTAAATGCGTTATCATTTAGAGATACGTATGGAAATATTTACAGATGGAAAAATTTATCTGATACTTCAAAATAACTTGGAGGTGAGGATGGGGTAGGTGGGGAGAGAGATGTAAAATCAAGATTGGCCATGAGCTAGTAACAGATGGAGCTGGGTGATGGGTTTATGGGAGTTAACTATACTGCATTCTCCAATTCTATAGATATTCAAATTTTTCCATAATAAAAGAGTTTTTAAAAATAAGTGGAAGAGAAGAAAATCAATCTTCATTAGATTAGTGATGGTAAAATTATTTTTAAGTCTAGAGATAAGCCTAAGAAATAAAGCCAGGGGCTTTCTAGAGGAAGCAGGGAAGAAAGTAACATTTATCAAATGTCTACGCCAGCAATTGCTCTACTAGGAATTTATCCAAGGGATACAGGTATGCTATTTCGAAGGGGCATATGCACCCCTATGTTTATAGCAGTGCTATTGACAATAGCCAAAGTAGGGAAAGAGCCCAAATGTCTATCGATGGATGAGTGGATAAAGAAGATGTGGTATATATTTACAACGGAGTATTACTCGGCAGTCAAAAAGAATGAAATCTTGCCATTTGCAACTACATGGATGGAAATAGAGCGTATTATGTGAAGCGAAATTAGAAAGAGAAAGACAAATATCATGACTTCACTCATATGAGGACTTTAAGATACAAAACTGATGAACAGAAGGGAAGCAAAAATAGGGAGGGGGACAAAACATAAGAGACTCTTGAATATGGAGAACAGACAGAAGGCTGCTGGAGGGGTTGTGGTGGGGATGGGCTACACGGGTCAGGGGCAGTAAGGAATCTACTCCTGAAATCATTGTTGCACCATATGCTAACTTGGATATAAATTTTAAAAATTAGTTTAAAAAAAATCAAATGTCTACAAGTGCCAGGCCCTTTGCTATGTACTGTCCCATAGATGATCTGATCTCATTCCTCACTACAGACCCATAGGATCATTACCAGCACACCCACTTACAAACAGAGAAAATATGGCTCAAAAAAGTAGTAGTTTAGGGTGCCTGGCTGGCTCAGTCAGCTGACTCTTGAGTTTGGCTCAGGTCATGATCCCAGGATCAAGTCCCACATTGGGCTCTATGCTGAGCATGGAGCCTGCTTAAGATTCTCTCTCTCCCTCTCCCCCCTTACCTCCCATCTGATCCCTCTCCCTTGCTTGCAAACTCTAAAGAAAAAAGAAAAAAAGGAGTACTGTATCTTATGCTCTACACACTCACAGCTCTTATAATGGAACCAGAAGGACTTGCAAAAGATTATGGGAGAGGGGAGTGGTTGACTTCGAAGTGGCACATGAGGGAATTTTTTGGGTTGATGGAATTGTTCTTTTTGCATGACCACGGTGGTGAATGCAGGACTCTAAGCATGTTTCAAAACCTACAGAACTATATACCACAAAAAGTGAATTTTACTCTATGTCCATTTAGATAAACTCATTCACAAAGTAATTTTTAAAAAGAAAATTATTAGATTGTCTCCTCACTACTGATTAAGAATGGCCTCGTTAGAGTCAGGCAAGAGTCACCAATGCATGCTAAATCTAGGAGGTAAATTTTTTTTCAAGGCAGAATTGACATATACTAGTTTCAGGTGTACAACCTAACTTGATATATGTATGAATTGTGAATGATCACCACAGTAAGTCTCGTTAACATCCATTACCATACACAGTTACTAATCTTTTTCTTCTTGTGATGAGAACGTTTAAGATCCACTCTCAGCAGCTTTCAAATTCTGATACAGTCACCATGCTATATATTACAGCCTCATGACTTATTTTATAACTGGAAGTTTATACTTTTTGACCACCTTCACCCATTTCACTTACACCCACCCCTATCTATGCAACCACCAATCTAACCTGTTCTTTTTTTTAATTAATTAAAAATGTTTTTTTAGGGGCGCCTGGGTGGCTTAGTCGGTTAAGCGTCCGACTTTCGCTTAGGTCGTGATCTCGCGGATCGTGGGTTCGAGCCCCGCATCGAGCTCTGTGCTGACTGCCAGCTCAGAGCCTGGAGCCTGTTTCAGAGTCTGTGTCTCCCTCTCTCTCTGACCCTCCCCTGTTCACGCTTTCTATCTCTCTCTCTCCTAGAAACAAAAAATTTTTAAAAAAAAATGTTTTTTTAATTTACATCCAAGTTAGTTAACATATAGTGCAACAATGGTTTCAGGAGTAGATTCCTTAATGTCCTTACCCATTTAGCGCATCTCCCTTCCCACAACCCCTCCAGTAACTCTGTTTTTTCTCCATATTTAAGAGTCTCTTGGGGCGCCTGGATGGCTTAGTCGGTTAAGCGTCTGACTTTCGCTTGGGTCATGATCTCGCTGTTCGTGGGTTCGAGCCCCGTGTCGGGCTCTGTGCTGACTGCCAGCTCGGAGCCTGGAGCCTGTTTCAGTCTGTGACTCCCTCTCTCTCTGACCCTCCCCTGCTCACGCTGTCTCTCTCTCTCCTAGAAATAAAAATTAAAAAAAAAAAAAGAGTCTCTTATGTTTGGTCCCCTTCCCTGTTTTTGTATTAGTTTTGCTTCCCTTCCCTAATAATCTGTTCTATCTGTGAATTTTGGGGATTTTTTGTTTTTTAGATTCCACATATAAGTGAGATCATATATTGTCTGACTTATTTCATTTAGCATAATGCCCTCAAAGTCCATCCAAGTCATCACAGATGGCAAGATTTCCTTCTTTTTTATGGCTGAAAAATGTTCTATTGTATATTTACGCATTTTCTTTATCCATTCACCTATCAGTGGATACTTAGGTTGCTTCCGTATCTTGGCTACTGTAAATAACACTGCAACGAGCAAGGGGGTGCAGATATCTTAAGTCAGTGTTTTCATTTTCTTCAGATAAATATCCATAAGTGGAATTGCTGGATCATAGGGTAGTTCTATTTTTTATTTTTTGAGCAATCTCCTATTTTCCATGGTGACTGCACCAATTTATATTCTTACCAACAGTGCACAAGGGTTCTCTTTTCTCCACATCCTGGTCTCCACAACACTTGTTATTTCTTGTCTTTTTGATACCAGTCATTCTAACATGTGTGAGGTGATGCCTCACTGTGATTTTGACTTGCATTTCCCTGATGTTAGTACAACTAACTGTTAGTACAACTAACCTGTTGACCATCTAGGAGGTAAATTCTGATGCAGACCATGGTCTTAAAATGTCTACTCACATTTAACAAGGAAAAAATATAAATATTTTGACTGTGACCAAATTCAATATCACCAATAAGAGGCAGATGGACATTTCATCCTCCTTATGATTTGCTAAAAAGGACATACATCACTTAGTCATATTAGACAAGGAATGCATAAAATAATTATGACAAAAAACAAAACTCCACATGAGAAAGATTCTATTTTTTAAAAGTATTTTAACAATAAAAAATAAAAGAAGTATTGTTTTAAAAATATCAATGTCATAAAAGACAAAAGCTGTGAAAATGTTACAGATTAAAGGAGGTTAAAGAGATGAAAACTAATGTAATACATGATCCTAGACTGGCTTTTGTACAGAAGGGAGGAAAATGCCATAAAGGACATTATTGGATCATTTGACAAAATTGGAAACCAGACAGATTAAACACTGTATCAACACCAAATTTACTCAAATTGATTACTGTGGTTATGTAAGAGAATATTCTCATTCTTATGAAATACATACTCAAGATTAGAGGGATAAGGGCCATGAGTAGTCAAGTTACTCTAAAATGATTCACAGAATGAAATATATAGACAAAACTGCAAAGCATGTGTGGCAGAATACTAACAAAAGAGTACATGGGTATTTTTTGTACTACTCTTAACTTTGTGTATGTGAAATTACTTCCAGATGAAAAGTTGTTTTTGTTAATGGTCTTGGTGGTGGGTCTCTTAGTAATGTTTAGTATTCAGATCCCAGTGGTATATGCTCTATTCTCAATACAATATCAAGAGTAATCTTTTTAAAATGTGACCAAGATTTGATGTTCCAATGGTTTCCCATCTCCGAGTAAAAGCCACAGTGACTGCGCTGGTCTCCAAGACCCGGCCTTTCGGGCCCAAGTACCTCTAACCTAACCTCCCATACTCTTCCTCCCTCAGCTGCTGTGCCACACTGGCCTTTTATCAGGTACATTTGCACCTCAGAGCCTTTGTACTTCCTGTTTGTTCTTTGTAGAATACTCTTTGCTCACATACTTGCTCACTCCCTTGCCTCTTGTGCAAATCTTTGCTCGAATGCTACCTTCTCAGTGAGGTTTTTCCTGACCACTGTAAAATCAGAACCCCTGCAACACCCAGCCCTCCCCATCCCCCTTAGTTTTCTTTTCCATAGTACTTGCTTCCATCAATACGTTACACAGTACTTGTTTTGTTCCTTGAGTGTACAGACTTTATATGTTTTATTCGGTATAATACCCCAGCACCTAAAACAGTACCTAGCATATGTGAGATAATCAAATACTTATTGAATGAATGAATGAATGAATGAACAAGACTGTGTGTGTAAAGCAGCAGCAAATCACTCCTACAAAGTGACAGACAATTCAGGGAGAACCCTAATGGTTTATTCATTAAAAATGGGATTTTAATCATTTTAAAGCTATACTGGAAGATCACAATGGGGACTCTATTGCTAAACTGTGCTTAAGATGCAGATGTTTAGTTTATGTCTGAAAAAGGATGAAGTTTAAAAAAAACAAAACTGACTCATGACATCAAAAAGTAGCCAGAATCGATTAGACTCTCCGCAGATTCAGTGTCTAACTTCAGTTGTGCCTCAGTGCTATACTCACATCCTTCTGTTCATTCCTTCACTTCCTATCCTATTCACTGGAGAAGCCGTGCCAAAATTTGCACTTTCTTCGAGATTCCAAACCCTCCCCTACCCTCTTACTCTTATCGTCTGAGCCCCCCATCTAATTACTGAGAAGACCAAGGCCACTCCACTTCAGCTCCCTCATTTCCATCCTCCATTTCAATGTCTGTTTTTATCAGCCCACCATCTTTCCATTCTATGAATAAGAAGGCTCTTTCCTTCCTTTATAATTTTTCAGACACAAGTGAGTTAGTATGATCTAGGATCTGGATTTGCTATAACTACTTCTATTCCCCACTTCACATTAAAGCTAAAATGTCATTTAAAAAGTACTTGGAAAAGTGTTTTAAAGCAGTGATACTGTGATTAACTTTCTAGATTAACAAACATAAACATTAATTTCATAGTTTTATAGTAACCTTAGAAGAAAGAAATAAAAATTCCAGAATGGTAGTTCCAGAAACATTAAGTTTGTTAGCTAGTTTATTTTTGGAATTTAACTGAGAAGTCTAACTAGAAGAAGGACAAAGAAATCACCAGATCTAACATATAAATTATAAACTGTATTTCTTTATTGTTCAACATTACACATTTTCACCATTTTTGCAAATAATTTTTAAAGTATTTAATACCAGCCTGAGCCAGTTCCACGTTGAAGGCCCTCAGGGCAAAACCAGAGCTTCTGGATTCTGCGGGGAGCAGCAGGGAGCACAAGTAGCCCTCATAGTCTCGTTTCCTATAACAAATAGGCAAAAAAGGACCATTTGCATGTTCTAAACTGTACACAAAAAAGTGCTGTCAAGAATTAACTGAAGAAACAGGGGCACCTGGGTGGCTTAGTCGGTTAAGTGTCCGACTTTTGCTTGGGTCATGATCTCGTGGTTCGTGGGTTCGAGCCCCACGTCTGGCTCTGTGCTGACTGCCAGCTCGGAGCCTGGAGCCTGTTTCAGAGTCTGTGACTCCCTCTCTCTCTGACCCTCCCCTGCTCACGCTGTCTCTCTCTCTCTCTCCTAAAAATAAATAAAACATTAAAAAAAAAAAGAATTAACTGAAAAAACAAATAAGGCTTCGAGTCAAAATGGACTTGAAATTTCTTATATTTTATACTTGTTTCTTTATAATTACAAAAATGGATCTGCCCCCAATCCCAGACTAGTTAAAAAGAAATAATCTCTATTATTTTTCCATACATAGTACTTATAATTTGTTTAAAAATTTTTTAATGTTTTATTTATTTTTGAAAAAGAGAGACAGAGTGCAAGTGGGGGAGGGGCAGAGAGAGAAACAGAATCCAAATCTGAGCTGTCAGCACAGAGCCTAATGCGAGGCTCGAACACACAAATGGGGAGATCATGACCTGAGCCGAAGCCAAATGCCCAACCAACTGAGCCACCCAGGCGCCCCTATAGTACTTATAATGTTAACTGTCTCTGAGTCACCTTGGTTTTGGTAAGAATTCAAATGAGCTACTCAGGTGGATTACACAAGTAAGTAATCCCAGCAAGTACGGTATGAACTCACAGGTTTTTTCTAAGTTTATTTATTTTGAGAGAGAGAAAGCGCACACAGGCAGGGGAGAGGCAGAGAGAGAGGGAGAGACAGAATCCCAAGCTGGCTCCACACGGGCAGCACAGAGCCCAACATGGGGCCCAATTTCACAAATCATGGGATCATGACCTGAGCCGAAATCAAGAGTCAGACACTTAACACTTAGCCAAGTGAGCCACCCAGGCACCTCTTTAATACACAGATACAGACACAGATAAGACACAAAAGCAGAAAATAATATAGGAGTGTGTGGGTGGGTGTGTGCCTATGTGTACACGTATGTTTCCTAGCAGCATCTGCTGAGAGAACATGGAAGCAATAATATCACCCAAGCCCCCAGTCTTTTTAAAACAAGAGAAAGTAGACAAATACTTAGGTAAATACTAAATGTCCATATTCACATAGAGACACAGTGTAATCTCTGAGCCCAATATACACTAACATTCTTATTAACTAACTTTACAAGGGAGAAACCCAAAAGATACCTTCTCAACCAAGTAATAAAAGGTTCACACCACAGAAATAGAGTTATCATGATACTGAGACCAGCATAGCATCGCTTCTGTGATATTCCTGCCAAAAATGTATAAATCATAAGGAAATATTAAATAAACCCAAACTGAGAGAGATTCTACACAGTAACTGGCCTACTCTCCTCAAAAAAATGCTATGCTTATGAAAAATAAGGGAAGACTGAGAAAATGTGTCAGCCTAGAGAAGAGTAAAGAGATTTGACAATTAAATGTATCATATAATCCTAAATGTATGAAATACATAATCAAATAATCAGCAAAATTTGAATGGAGTCCATGGATTCAATAGTAATAATGCATCAATTTTAATACCCTGATTTTGTTGGTTGTACTATAGTTATATAGGAGAGGAACCCTGGGTTAAGAAATACACACTAGGGGCACTTACATGGCTCAGTCGGTTAAGCATCTGACTCTTGATTTTATGGGCTTAGGTCATGATCTCATAGTTCATCATTTTGAGCCCTACGTCAGGCTCTGTGCTAACAGAGTGGAACCTGCTTGGATTCTCTGTCTCTCCCTCTCTCTGCCCCCCTCCCCCACTCATTCTCTTGCTCGCTCTTCCTCTCTCTGAAAGAAAGAAAGAAAGAAAGAAAGAAAGAAAGAAAGAAAGAAAGAAAAGAAGAAAGAAGGAAAGAAGAAAGAAAGAAAGGAAAGGAAAGGAAGGAAGGAAGGAAGGAAGAAAAGAAGGAAAGAAGAAAGGAAAGGAAGGAAAGGAAGGAA